GGGCTTTGGAGACTCTTGTTTTTATAGTCAGAGGGGAAAGATGAGTGAGGCTGGAGTGTGAGCTGGCAGTAATAATATCTACACTCTGGTAACCAGCGCTGGCTTGAATTAACTGTAAGCCTTTGGATACTTTTCAAGGAATCTGAAGTTCAGTTTCTTCTTTTGTAAAGTGAAGGAATTTTATACTTAAATTGCTAATATTCTGTGAACTCATAAACCTTTTCCAGTTGAAAAGTGCATTTCAAAAACTCCTCCAGGGTTCAGTTATGTGGCTTGGCACCCGCTCCCAAGCTTGACAACTGGAGTTTGGTCCCCAGGACACATATTATGGAAAGAGAGAACCAGAACTGACCTCCACAGCACACTAACATACAAAATTGTTTTTAGGAAAATTCACCTTTCTCCTATCTGCATGCAGTCTCCTATACTCCAGGAATTGTTTCCTTTACTGTACAGAAGCTTAATTTGATTAAATTCCATTTGTCAATTCTTGCTTATTTTGTCCTGAGTTATTGAAATCCTATTCTAGAAGCCATTACCTATTTCTATATCTTAAGGTGTTTTCCACATGATTTCTTCAGGCCTGTCTATCTTCCATCTTCCATTAAGGGCTTTGATCCATTTTAAATTGATTTTTGTACAGATAGAGAAAGAGGTGATTTCAGTCTTCTTCATGTGGCTATCTAGTCTTCATAGCTCCATTTGTTGAGGCGGTGTCTTTTAATTGGGTACCTTTGTCATGAATCAGGTGGCTGTATATTTTTGGTTGTATTTCTGAGTCCTCTGATGTTGTATTGGTCTACGTGACTGTTTCTATGATGATACAATATTGGTTTGTTACTGTGGCTTCCTAAATCAGATATCATGTTACTTCCAGCATTGCTCCTTCTGCTTAAAATTGCTTTGGCTATTCAGAGTCTTTTGTGCTTCTACTTGAATTTCATGTTGCCTTTTTTCTGGTTCTGTGAAAAATTTGCTTGGAATTTTGATAGTATCTGATAAGATGTTGATATTCAGAATATATAAAGAAGTCAAAAGGTTAAACACTAAAATATAAGTTTAAAAATCTATTTTCAATAAAAGAAGCAAGCAATAACTCAATAATTCAATACATGATCAAATGAAATTAAAAGAAAATAGTTCTAAGTAGCCAGTAATACATGATGGAAAACATCTCAGTTCTTTAACTGTAAGGAAATCAGATTAAAACTTCACTAAGATTCCATCTCAGCCCAGTAAGAATAACTATCATCAAGAAAACAGACAACAAATGTTGCCAGGAATGTAGGGGAAGAAGGAGATAGAACAACTTATATACTTTTGGTAGAGAAGTACATTCATCAGCCACTGTGGAAATCAATATGGAAATTACTCAAAAAATTAAACATACGGTCAAGCAAAATGGTTCAGCAAGTAAAATCGATTGTCAAGTGTTTGACCAGAGTTCCATCCCTAGAACCAGCATAAAGGTGGGAAGAAAGACACCAGTTCTATAAAGTTTTCCTTTGACTTTTACACATATACCATGGAACATAACACACACACACACACACACACACACACACACACACACACACAATTTAAAAACTAATAAGACCACTACTTGATCTTGGTATACTACTACTGAGTGTATGTATGCAGAGGACCCAGATTTAATTTACCATACAGTAGAAATACCTACACGTGCTTGCCTATTGCAACACTGCTTATGAAAGCTAAATTCTAGAATCAGCCTAGGGGCCCATTGTTGGAAAAATGGGTAAGAGAAATGTGTATATATGTGGAAGATTATTGGGCCATAAAAATTAAATTATGTCATTTGTGGAAAAATGGATATAAAATGATAGAGATCGATTGCTTTTAAGTGAAATAAGCCAGATAGTAAAGGACAAGGTTTCAAGGTTGTCAAACTTAATGTGGTCCAGGTTCTTTGTATGGTTGTGTAAAGATGTCATGATGAAACCCATCACTTCATGCAAGTAATACATACTAATATTTTAAAATTTATCTTTAAAATTCATTTAAAACATTTTTAAAAGAATTATTTTATGTTTATGAGTACACTGTAGCCGTCTTCAGACACACCATCAGATCCCATTACAGATGGTTATGAGCCACCATGTGGTTGCTGGGAATTGAACTCAGGACCTCTGAAAGAGCAGTCAGTGCTCCTAACCACTGAGCCATCTCTCCAGGCCCCTCATTATAACATGTTTTAATTGACATAGAATTACATCAATTTTCTTCCTTTCCTCATTCCAGCCCCTTCAAGTACCTTCCTTCCAACCCCTTCTGTCTTGCCCACTTTGAAGCTGATAGTCTCTTTTTCTTTGAATATTATTGTTAAAATACATATATGTATATATGCATGCACATGCACAAATATAAACCCTGCTGAGTCTGTTTGTGTATATATTGTTTCAGGGCTGACCACTCTACACTAGACAACCTGTAGGGGGACTCATCCCTAACTTCCCTTCTTTCAGCAGTTATTGGTTGCCTATAACATTTTAAAGGAGGTGGAGGGGGTACCAAGTACACACTACTCTTCAAGTGGGAGCCTAAGTTCAGTTCCCAATACCCACTTCAGGTGTTTCATAATTGGAACTACAACTCCTTGGGAATGTAATGCCACTGTTCTCTGCAGATACCAGCACGAGCATTCAAGTGCATGACTCCCCCCATGAGATACATAATTAAAATAACTTAAAAATCATTTTTTTAAAAATATAATGCATTTTAAAATTTTAGTTTTCACCTCATTGAAAAAGAACAATTAATTGGCTTTCTTAGGTTATTACCAGAAAAGTACTATTCTTTTTATTATTTTTGTTTATTTTAATCAAAATACTTGAGGGAACAACTTGGTCATTTGGCTCCGTGAACTTGAGAAAGACATGACAGCAGTAGAAGTTACAGAATTTCTTTGCCTTTAATGGCAAACAAAAAGCAGAAAGAGGTACCTTCAAGGGCACATACCATAGGGCTTACTGCTTATAACTAGGCCCCTGTGCACAACTCCAAAAATAGCACTACTAGCTGTGGGCCCCTGGCTATGGGCTCATTTGATTGAGGACCACTTTGTATTTAAGCTACAACAAATCCTTGTATAATATCATTTATTAAATTTCAGTTAAATCCTAGGCACTGTGTAAACTGATTAAAATGAAAAGATGAACAAGACATAGTTCTGTGTCTTGAGTTCATTATCTGGTGTGAGAGAAATCTGGGTAAATCGATAAATGCAATATAATTCATTAAATGTTATAAGTAAGAACTGGCTGGGCAGTGGTGGGCACTTGGGAGACAGAAGCAGGTGGATTTCTGAGTTCGAGGCCAGCCTGGTCTACAGAGTGAGTACCAGGACAGCCAGGGCTGCACAGAGAAACCCTGTCTCGAAAAACCAAAAAAAAAAAAAAAAAAAAAAGTAAGAACTGAGAATAAGAATTCTCAAGTCGAGCTAGATGTGGTAATATGTGTCTTTAATCCCAGCATTCCAGAGGTAGAGGCCAGCCTGGTCTACCTATTGTGTTCCAGGAGAGCCAGGGCTGCATAGTGAGACCCTGTCTAAAAACAAAACAAAACAAAACAAAAAACCCTCAAACCTGAATGAACATTAGGATTTTTAGATCTTACTAAAAATTGCATGTTTTTGCCTTATCTCTCAAAAAAATTGATTTAAATAACCTGGGGAGTGAAAATATGCTATTTTCCAGAGTCTACAATGAGATCCTAATACACAGTAAGGTTGAGAATCACTGGAATAGAATAAAGATAACAAACTTGGTTCTTAAGAAAAGTGGGAGCCAGGCACTTCAGTCCCTTTAATCCTAGTACTTAGGAGGCTGAGGCACAGGGATCTCTGTGAGTTCAAGGACAGCCTGGTCTAGTGAGTTCCAGGAGAGCCACTGCTACATACCGATGTTCTGACTCAAAAAAAATTTTTTAAAAAACCAACACCAAAACAAACAAAAAACAACAACAACAAAACCAACTCCACAAGTATAGGGGCCAGTATTCACATCCCCAGAATGTGGAATTGTATGTCCCACAGCAAGATGAGAAGTGGACACAGTAGAATCGCCCAGAAGCTCTCAGGCCAATTAGCCTGGTCTCTTCGTCAGTGATGAATAACACATCCTGTCTCAAACAAGATGGAAAGCTGACCTCTGACCTCTACACGTACCCCAGGCACACACTTACATGGAGATTAAAAACAAAACTGGCAATCATCAAGCAGAAAAGGAGAAAAGAATCTTCCGGCTTTGTACCTAGAACTCAACGATCCATCGGGGAAACTAGAAATAGTTCCATAGAACTTAGTATAGGACTGTGAGGGAAAGGAAAACAGTGAACGTTGAGACTGGAGATGTAGGCAGGAGGCAGATCAATTACTGTCCGTAAAGGAATTTGGACTTCCTAATAAGTGATGGAGAGTGGCATAATCTCATTTCTCTTAAAGAAAAAAAAAACCCAGCTTGTATGGTACTGTGGAAGATGGATTAGAGATCCTGGAAGCAGGAATGCCAATTAATAGACTGGTAACTCGGGCAGGAAAGGAGGCCTAAACTAAAAACAATAATACTAGTGAGTAAAAGATAGCAAGGAAACAACCCACAAAGCAATGCCACGTGAGCAAGGAAGAGCCGTCAGGGGATAGAGCTTTCTTTATTTTTCATCTATTGTTTACTTGCCAGCAATGATCAGTCCAGAAATAAATACGTCAGAGGTAGAAAAATGTCTTTCTATGAATTTAACTAGAATCAATGTGACTTGAAATCCAGTCATTTCACCCCAAATTTACCAACATAATTAGTGGCTATTTACAACACCTATACTGAAGTCCCGGCATACATAGGGCCAAAATGTGCAACATCTCTCCCCCAGTTTGGTGGTAGAATGGAAGAACAGAACTAAAATAAAGGTTTGAGAGATTTTAGTGAACAGAAAAGCTGTACCTAGTCTTCAAATCTGTCCAAAGCAAATGTAGTGAAAGCCTTCTAATCCTTCAGAGTGTCACCTGGCATTGACTTCAGACAAAAGAGCCTCTGTCCTATGTCATCATACTGACTTTCTCTAGTTCCTCCTTGTCGTTCTGTGCAGTTCTTTGATCCTGGGATTCTCTTTAAAATAGGAGAAGAACAAGAAGGGGGTAGATAAAGCAGGCGTTTGCAAATCTAACAATCATAGATTAGAATGCTTAGGAAATGCAGGGCTGGGGCACTGTGGCTTACAATGGAGCTCTTGGCTGCCATGCAACGAGGCCATGGGTTGAATTCTCAACATGGCCAAAAGTAGATCGATAAATGTATAAACAAAGAAATGTTTTGCAAAAATCTATACCCATTATCTAAGCCTTTTAAAACTGGAGTGGTTTTGTTGTTGTTTTGAAAGTTGTTCTCTCACCATATTGAGTTCATTTCTGTTGGTTGTTGCTCTCTCCGTAGTTGTAGTACCCATTTTACCTGAAGGAAAACATTTGGAAAGTGTCATGACATTACTTAATTGTATAATTATAAGACTAATAATAGCATCAATACAAAGTTTCAAATGATTTTAAAAAATAAGAAAATTTTTATTGTGTAGCAGTATACCTTTTTTCTATTGAAAGCTTTTGTTCTTTAGTGGAAAGACTCATTTCGGAATTACATGTAAATAAAATTTTTTAAACATTTTGAGAGCCTACAGAAATGAATCTCGAACATATGAAAGAAGAGGAACGATAAACCAACTCCATGTAGGTACACTATGCAAACATATATTCCACAAAACGGTCATGTAGTAAAAGACGCCCAAAATATAAAGGAAGGGGCTCAGTAAGTGAAAGAAGAGGGAGGATGAATAATATACAGGCTGAAACAGGAGTCAAGGAAGAGAAAATTGTAGGGTGTTCATAGCAAATGTGTCTAGGTTAGGTCTAAACTAGGGGAATCCTGTTAAATTTGAATTTTAGTACACAGTAGTAATTTTTAGTTCATGTTCCATGTAAAATTTGAAAAAATAATAATTATTCATTGTTTAGCTCAAATTCAAATCTATCTTTAAAAAAAAGTGAGAACCCCACTTTAGACATCCTGCTCCTTTCCTGAGCACTTGGTATGAACAGGTGGAATTATTGTCACCCATTAAACTGTCTTAATGAGAATGCAATTTATTTTTAAAATTTTTTACTGACTTCATGTTTAGGGAAAAAAATTAACTTTATTCTTCCTGTCTGAACTTCTGTAAGATTTTATGGAAAACAACAACAAAAATCACAAATTAGTTTCATCACCTGTTAAAACCACAAATGCAACTTTAATGTTTAAAGGGTTCAGGTTGCCTCAAAGCTTATGGACTATTTAAGAGCAACACTTTGGTGAAAGATCCAGATTTGAGCTAGTTGTGGTTTCTGCCTCTGCATCCCAAAATTTTAGCCATCAGGAGGAGAAATTAAAGAAGGAAAGGAAAGGTGAAAGGTGAGAGGAATGGCTTGCTTTCACAATAGAGGATTAGTGAGTAAATAGGTTCCCAGGCATATTCATTTCCCACTTCCCTGGACTTCACTGTCAAGTATAATTGTAGCCCAGTATCCAGCCTTCAGGTTCTTCTAAGGAGAACCTTCTGTATCTTCTCAGAGAGTTCAAAGAAATGGTAAGAGCCTGGGATACGGGGAAGGAGTGGTGAAAGTCAAGTATCGTATCATAGTTAGATCATTACTGAAGATTATTGCTGAAGACAGATCATCAGAATTCAGAGACTGCTCAGTGCCCGAGCTCTCTATGATAGGCAGTTAACAAAGGCCACAAGCTGCAGTCTTGACGAAGTACAAGTAAACGGTGCCGTAGTACAGGTAAGCTGGGAGGACTGACGCAAACCATGAGCCAGATTATGAGTAAGCCCTTTCAATTGTGCCATATCTCTGTGGCGTGGGGGAAGGAAAGACTTATCCCAGAGTGTGAACAACAAACACTTTCTTGTATATCAGATACCTGGGGCAAAGACTGATGCTGGTGAGTCCCAAGCTTCAGGGAGTTTCCAGAATAGGGATTACATGAACTGTAACAAAGTCTCTATTATTTGCCAACAAAATAGAAGGCACTATTAACTCAGCCAGATAGCACACTGAACAGGGGACAAAGGATTTTTGGCCACGAGCATGGAGGAAAATTTCCTTCTATTTGGAAATATCTGGAATGAAAGGACTTGTATTTGCCTGATTTTCGAAAGAGGTGTGTCCAAAATTACATGCCACTTTCTTCTAAGCCAAGTTTAAGCAATTCAATTCTTTTGAAACTAGAAGAACCAGAACACCATCCAAAAGGGCTATTGAGTACTCAACCTCAAATAGTCCTTGTATAATAGCCCAACCCATTTTTACTTCACTGCCCTAATTGCCTAATTTATTTGTAGTAGAGAGAAAACATGTTGGACAAGAATTATGGAGGAAGTAGGCAGTTTTTTGTTTCTTTGTTCAGAATGGGGTGAACTAGTTCAGGGAGGGGAAACAATAGTTAAGGGTTGCACGACAGAACACCATGTTTAATGTTTAATGAAGGCTGCCAGTAATAAATCTTGATGCCATATAGCATGACACAAAACATCAATAGGTTGTTTTCTTCATTTTTCATTTGGTTTATAAGTGTGGCACATTTTGTCCTAGGGGTAATTGAAAGCCAGTCTCCTACAGCATTTCACATTTCCTGAATTACCATTTGTTATGGGCTTGGCTTAGATGTGGTTGGTGCCACCTACCGGACTAAATACATAATTACAGGCCATTTGTAAACCCATTTGTAAACATTCTCTAAAAACAGCCTTAGGAATCTTCTTTGGGAGGATGACACTATATAGTTAAGTTGGGATTCCCATCATAATTTTTAGGACCGGAAGAGACATAAGAAATCCAACTTTAATACCATCATTGTGTCATTCAGTCCAGAACCAGAGCTTTAACTATGGACACAGAAGCCTGGTTTTCTGAGTTTGCTTCTTGTTCCATATTCAAGATCTTACAGATCTTACAGAGCCATACAAGGGTTATACAAAGTGAGAGGTTGTTAAAGTGCCCTGTTACATGGGGTGGCTGTAAATAATAGACACAGGAAAAATTGAAAACAAATAACTTGCCCATGTTGTGTAGTGACTACAACACATATACCTGACTCTAGAGCCATGGCCTTTCCCAACTGAATTAAAACTTCTCAAGGTTTGGTAATGAAATAATTTTAGGTGACACCTATAATGAATTTAAGAGATGTTATAACATGGCTTTAAATCCTGTAAATCACAGTGGAAAATTATTTTGAATTGAACTCTCAACCCGAGGTGACCTTGTGCTACTACTGTACCTTATGCCCTGCGTGCTGGGGTTATAAGCAAGTGCTTCAGCACCTAGCTCAGTTATTATTACCCTTTGCAATGTGTACTTGACAGAACCAAGGAGAAAGTTTAAAGTCGATTCTTGTTTCTTTAAAATTTTCTTGTTAGTCTTGCTTTCCAAGAATAATAAAACAGGCCTCAGGCTTTACCATCTTCCTAGAATTAATTTTTCTATTTCATTATTATTAAATTTACTTCTGAAACTTGTGGAAAAATATTGTTTTTCTCACTTCGTAATACAAACTTTGTGGCTGAGCATGGCAGGTAGCTTGTGATACTGATTCTTAGGAGGCAGAAGTAGAAGGATCACTGTAAGTTTGAGGTGAGGATGAGCTACACAGTCAGTTGCAGACCAGCTTAGGCTATAGTGTGAGATCCTGTTTTGTTTTGCTTTGTTTTAGCTTTTTTTGTTTTCAATAAGTGCATGAATGAAATTAAAGACAACCTGAGTAGCAAAAGTGACTAAGTAATAATAAGCAGCAGCTAAAGAAGTTGAGAAAGTAGAACTACTATACTAGGTCCCCGCTGTTGCTAATGCTGTGTTTTAACAATTCTCTTGTTGTCTTAGTTTATATTCTGTTCTGAGAAGACCATTCTGACCAAAAGCAACTTAGAGAAGCAAGGGTTTATTTGGCTTACATGTCCCAATGACAGTCCATCATGAGGGGAAGTCAGAGCAGGAGTTCAAGGCAGGAACTTGGAGTTAGGAATTAAAGTAGAAGCCATGGAAGAAAATTGCTTACTGGCTTGCTCAGCCCACTTTCTTTCATAACCCAAGACTACTGGCCCAAGGGTAGTACTGTCTACAGAAGACTGATCCCCCCAAATCAACAGTTAATCAAGAAAATGCCCACAAAAGTCGTGTCTACAGGCCAATTTGAGGGAAACATTTTTCTCAGTTGAGGCTTCCTTCTCCCAGATGATCCTGTCTTATATATCAAATTGACAAAAAACTACCAGCACACCCATGATAAGAACTAGCATGGCGTTTTAAAAATAATAATAATAATAATAATAATAAATTAGAATTTATAAGCAAGTTAACATAACAAAATCTATGACTGTTGGATTTCAGATCAGTTTGGGCTCAAACAAACCAAAAACTTTTGAGAATGTGTAAGCACATATGCAGTCAGTAAAACGTGGGGTTGATGGATCCCTCCTGCTTGTGGCTGCGGTAACATGTCACTATAGCTACCTATCACTTTGTTTGCTAGGAGTGAAGAAGAAGAGAATGGAAGTATGGACCTGTGGGCTGCCGCCGTGACTGATTCAGTGCTCTCTCCGTGTTTAGGGGAGTTTCCTGAGGCACTCGAATGGAATCACTAATGAGGGGCTGACTCAAATCTGGAATTCAAAGAACTCTTCCTTACTCTTCTGGATCCCTCGATATGATCTTTGGCTAATTTTCAATGGCATAAAAACAGAGCTTTCTGTTTTTCTCATACTACTTCTTTGTCTTTTAATTTTTGTATATTAATGACTGACTACCATTCTCCAGGTTCTTTCTTTCCAACTTCCTGCTGTCCAGTTCTTCTCAAAATATAGGTAGAAAGAAAAATATGTGTGGAACCTCAATTTTCCTAATTTTATCTATTAACAAAGATTGAATGCTGTGTGCCTGGACCAAGTTATATTAAGTTGTTCTATCCTATTAAATATTTTTGCAGTAATGACTTCTTCACATATTGTGTTAAGGAACAGATAAGAAACAGTCTAGGAAATTTAGCTATTCTGGAAATATTGAAGATATAGACTACTGTTATTCCATAGTAAAGTTCTGTCCCCTTCTGAAGGCCTGGGGGAGAAATCACTCTTAGGTCTCAGTAACATGAACATTTATATTTGTCCTAATCAAATGGGTTTGTTGTCACTTTGTGAACGCTGACAATCCACAGTTTCTGGTGAATTCCGGAAACACACTTATAACCTACCTCCACTAAATAGCACTTCTATCATACATTATGCTTTTTGACCGATTTATGTTCCATTTTATTTGGCTTGCTCATCTGTTTATTTGGTCATATGTGTTGTGTGCAATGTTTATAAGACATTCAAGCTTTTTGTGGACTAAGACTAAGAAGAACTTACATACATAGTTACTGATACTGGCGGGACATTGCCATTCCTGGAGTAGGATTTCTACAGCATGTCCCTTTTTTTTTTTTTTTTTTAAAGATTTATTTATTTTATTGATGAGTACACTGTAGCTGTCTTCAGACACACCAGAAGAGGGCATCCAATCTCATTACAGATGGTTGTGAGCCACCATGTGGTTGCTGGGATTTGAACTCAGGACCTCTGGAAGAGCAGTCAGTGCTCTTAACCGCTGAGCCATCTCTCCAGCCCCATGTCCCTTTTTAAAATATAGACTTCAGATAAATAGATTCTTAAAAATTTAAGAATCCTTTCCCTGCCCTTCATAACCATTTACTTTTTATGAAATGCTATGATTTTTCTATGATACCATAAAATTTTTAGGGTAAATCACTGGCATTCCCAGAAAAATATCTGAATTAGTGAGTTTAGAGCCCTTACCAACTGTCTAGTTCCTATGCCTTCAGCTCTGAAACAACAGTCTATTCCAATGTAATTTATGAGATCAATTCTAGTTCTTAGGGGAAAAGGTGGAAAAGAAACTAAATTTTTGAGTGTCAAATATTACCATCTACATATTCTAAGGATATGGTATATTACTTTATCTTTAGAAAGGAAAACTTAATTTCTTCCACAGAGATTCTTTACCTTAGTACAATAGCTTTTGAATCCCACTGTTAGTAATAATAGTGAAAAATTTTATTTGCACCACATTTAACTAACATTGTATGCCAGGCACTGTGATGCTCACTGATAAGTAATGGGACCTTCAGTGTTAACAAACAAAACAAAGCCTCAAACTATGTACCTATGATACTCCACCCACCTTGAGGCCTCAGAAGATTCAAAGCTCCTTGCTTTGGTTCAAAATTGTGTTGTAGGTACATTGATAACTTGAAGTCATTGGTCTTCTGGTAGTTCTTCAAAGCTTCAATTTTCAGCTCAATCACTTTGTCATGAAAGCCATTCTGAAAGAGGACATTTTCCAATACCTATAACATTGACTTTTCTAAATGTACTATTACCTGGGTTTCTTGATATAGATAAAATAAAGCCCTTGGATTTTGTCTTTTAGAGTTAGGAAGATGGTACTTATTATTTTCCTGTAATTTCAAGTAGTACAAAATCAAAAGCATGGGTTCAAAACTACACAAAAATATTGAATATTGAGTATTTAAAATTATTCAAGGTAAATCCAGAAATAGATGACTTCAGCTTTCTCATACAGTTCAGTTCTTGTAACAAACAGTGAGGATGGCCTTAAAGATATGAAGCTAAAAGCCTTATCATTGGATAAACAAATATATCCCATGATCAGCCTTGGAAAACCTTATTACCTGAAGGATGTTGGGTTGTTCTTCATATTTGATCCATTTTAGTTTCCTCTGTTGCTTTTCCTGGTGGAAGAAAGACCTTCTGGGTGACAAAGTAAATTGAGATAAAAATCAGTTTTTTCAATAGCCTGAAACAACCTTATACAAAATGATAGTACAGGTTCATTGTTAGGCTATTTTTTATTTCACAGTCTTCTTGATTGACCTTCCCATGTAATGGATTCTCTGAAAGCTAAGAGATGAACGAATACTTTATTTTCTGTGAATGATGTGTTTTGGGAAGATGAGATGGAAATGTAATATCTCTAAATAAATTTCCAAGATAAATCAACAAGTGTTCAATGTGTATGGAATTGTCATTATGGGTATAGATTTTCTCATTTTAAGATAACTAATATGATTTTTGCAGACGGCTGTAATGCCTGTCTAGTATAAATATAATATCCCAAAGATACATACATTATTTATAAAATTTGCATCAGTTTAGGAGCATACCACATCTTAAGCAGATTAATGATTTATGTATCAGTTCCAAAAGCCACTATTGCTCAGAATAATTTCTACCTTCCTTATGTCTCCCACTTTGTCGACATCTGATGTCTCTGGCTCACTCTTGGCATTCCAAAGTGATACGGGGGATTTCTGACCCTGATAGGGAAGATAAGAAATAAAAGAATAGATTAGTCCAGATGGGAAAAATACAGTGTTTTCGTAAAACAGAAATCAAATATACCCCCAAAATCGAGATCCCCAAATTAGCCTTGATAATAGAAGGGCCGTTTCCAACAGTATCAGGTCGACTTCTCTAAGTCCACACACCTTCCCGTCCTGCATGTCTGCCTTGGACTTGGTTGGTAATGCTTTCTGTTGATCATGGAGCTCCTCTGACTCAAATGTCTGTGGAGAGACATTTTGGCAAAGCTTTAAATTAGTGGTAATTATGAAGTCAAGGCCTTTGGTTCCTGCCAGTCAGCAACTTCTCAGGGCTCAAAATAGAAATCGTACACCTACCACAGGGGATTCAAAATGGTTCCTTAATGTTCCTTATAATAATAACTATTAAGTGAACCCATATAATATGTGACTGACAGTTAAGCTTCTCACTTCATTACTTATTCTCACTGCTACATTACAGTCCTTCTTATTTACTCTTCACAAGCCTGGGAATTATTATCATTGATGAAACTGAGACTTGGAGAAAACCACTTGTTTGTGGTAACACAGCTACAGAAGTACAGGGAGCTAGAGATCAAACCAGATCTTTCTGACTCTGAAGCCTGTGTTGTTAGCCATTGTGAATACTGCTCTTCTGCGTTTCTCCTTGTATAAATGTTAGGTAGGAAACATCACACAATAGAGACCAAAAGTGAGTTTAAAAATGATGTAATTAAAAGTATATGCTGATAGCAAACAATGGCATAACTGAGGTTAAATAAAAGAAAGCCAGGGGAGGCTTTGTTTTACATGGAGGAAACAAGGGCTTTTCTGAAGAGGTGACAGTTAAACTGAGGCCTGAAGGGTGAGAATAAGTAAATCATGAGAAAATAACTTTGTAGGCAGGAGTAAGTAAAGCAAGAGCAAAGACCTTCAGCTGAGACAAGACAAGTTTGAGAAACTACAGGAGGTCTTTGTGGTGGTTGCAGAGAGAGCAAGGGGCGCACCTATGTCTCTATGAGTTCAGATGAGCGTTAGTCCTGTTGGGTGGGGAAGGCCCTGTTTCACTGAGGTCATCTACTACCTCTGGCTCTCACTGTCTTCTGCATGGATCCCTGAGCCTTGAGGATTTGGGAGGAGCTGGGGAGGGAGAAGACATGATCAAAATATATAGCATGAAAAAATTGATAAAAATCTATGTCTCAAGAAAGAAAGAAGAGCCGGGCAGTGGTGGTGCATGCCTTTAATCCCAGCACTTGGGAGGCAGAGGCAGGCAGATTTCTGAGTTCGAGGCCAGCCTGGTCTACAGAGTGAGTTTCAAGACAACCTGGGCTATACAGAGAAACCCTGTCTCGAAAAAAAAAAACAAACAAAAAGAAAGAGAGAGAGAGAGAGAGAGAGAGAGAGAGAGAGAGAGAGAGAGA